GGGCCCCGGGGGCCGGCCGTCCGGGAAGCGGCCGTGCGCCCGCTTCAGCTGCCGGGCCGTCTCGATGACGAACTCGATGCGGTCGGCGCCCTCGTAGTTGACGCAGCCCCGGCAGACGGGCTCCGTGAAGTCCCAGATCATGGCCCAGGGCATGCGGGGCAGGTCGCACAGGTAGCATGACTGTCTCCGGGACGACGACACCTGCGCGGCGGACATGGTGCTGCTGGCCGGGGAGCTGCTGCCGCTGCCGCCGGGGTAGGGGCTGGCTCAGTCTTCCCCCCCGGGCTGCAGGGGGCGGGGGGGGCTCTCCGTACCTGGTCCTGCCGCCCCTTTCAGCAGGGGGACCGCCTGCTTTTAGCTCGCTCCTGCTGCCGGAGAGGGCTGCTTCTACCTGGTCCTGCCGCTGCCTCGCCGGTGGGGTGGGAACCGCTTCTACTGCTCCTGCGGGGGGCTGGGCGGGGGTCGCCTTCTAGCCGCTTCTGCTTCCCTGCGCTCTCTGGCTCTCCGCTGCTGCTGCTCCTCCTCCGGGAGGAGGCGGAGGTGCACGGAGGAAGATGGGGGGGTCACCTTCCACCCGCCGCGGCTTGCCCCTGGCTGGGCTCTGCCCTGGCTGGGCTCTGCCCTGGCTGGGCTCTCCGCGTTCAAGTGTCTCGCTTTCGGGATCGTGTAAACCCGCGGTCGCCCCGCTTTGCCTCCGTGACGGCTGCGCGGCGTCCTGCCACCGAGGCTGGCGGTGGGATTCCCGTGCGCTCCGGCTGCTGAGGCAAACGGGGGGATCCCGCCTTAATATCCGATTTCGTGTTTCTCTTGCAGTGATCCCGGTGACAGAATGACACAGTTTCTGTAAGCCCGTGACTGCATCAGAAGCTCTTCCACTTTTGATTTGTTTAAATCAGCCATGTTTGCCGAGTGTTTAAGGTTGGGCTGGGAAAGATAGTGCTGTGCGTTGCTCAAGGGTGTAGGAGAGGCCGGGCAGGTGAGTAATCGCTGTGATCTCATCTCGCTAATGCAAAGGGACATAGGATTTCCCCGGCGCTGTGAGAACACACGGCTTTTTTTTTTTTTTTTTTTTTTTTTT